ATCTCACCATCAGCTAGGTAGATGACCTGAGGGAGACTGAGGAACCTGGGACAAATTTAAGATATCCATGCACATACCTGTCTTAGGTGCAAAATGTTCAGAGGCTCCTGATTCTGGTCACCTTTTAGAACTTAGTCACTACTTTTTTTTTTTTTTTAGGCTGTTAATGCTTCCCTCTCCTTGTTCTTTCCAAGAACACCTTTCTTAGCTTTCCTTATTTTTTATTCTGCTTTATTCTGGCAGCCACTTCTCTTGCATAGATGACTGTTAACTAACTGTTGCTCATAACAAATACAGGTTGCTTGGCTGACCTGCAACACCCATCAATAACCATGCATTATCATAACCCAATAACCACAAGCTTCCCAGTGAAAACCAGCTGACTGAAACAGCTGGTTCTGATGGAAGAAAAAACAATTTTGAAACCCTTATTTACAGAATATTTTGTTTCTTAAGTTGCAAACATGCAAGAGGCTATTGCAGACTGCAGTTTAGGAGTATTCTTGGCCTTCTCTGTGGCACTACATTCTCACACTGCAACACTGTGTAGAAATTCCAGTTTTGTAAGAAACAGTCATTGCTGCTGGCCAACCACCAGACCTTGTTTATTCACAGGTTTGTCATTCCTCAGCTGATTACAGCTCTACTGTATGGATGGATAATATGTCATCCGTATTTACAGAGTTTTGAGAAGTCCATAATGCTGTGGCAGATCTTAGAAACACAAGCAGTTTGTAGGCACATCAAACCAATCTCTCCAGCTTTCCATAGAATTTAAATTAAATTCATTATCTCGGTCTTATCTTCAGAGAATATAATTTCCAGCACAACTACGGCTTCAAGATAATAACTGTTGTTGACAAGAACAGCACTCTTGGCTGTGGAAGTAAGGGAGTCTTTTCGGGAAACAACTTACAGAGAGCTGATTGCAAACAGCAAAATGAAGTTTTCCAAAGACACAACAGAGTTCACCGTCCAAATCCAATCCCAACTATAAAGCAGATTTATTTTACCTTGCCTTCTTCAAGCCAAACGTCTGTTTTTTTGAAAATATCCATTTGATTTTCAGTAATTAAACCCCCAACTATGAAAACAAAATGTTTCACATGCTCTTGCTCTTGGGGAGGGATTAGAGTACAAACAACATGCAGTGTATTCTAGCAGTGCAGAAACTTCCTTGATAACACCCTTTCACTTTGTAATACATAATGCATTATGTCATGTATTTAATGTTGTTATGTGTGCAGTGGTTCAGAAGAGATTCTTAATGCAAATAAGGGGCTATGAAACCATGCCATAATATTTTCTCATGATGAAAGCAAGTTAGATGTACTTTAAAGATTATGTAAGTACTTGGATACTTATTTTCAACATTGCCATTGTTTTTCTTCTCCCCATATCAAATGGAACTTGCATACCATCCTCCTCACCAGCACCAGTCTTTTGCCTAGTTCAGATGTGTCACTTATAGATCTGTAGCCTCTGTCTCTTAATAATTCACACACACTAAAAAAGTTGTTAAAATTTGACACATTGCAGAGCTTTTGACTCTTTTGACTCTTAGTTCAGTCACACCCTAAATGTCTAAATTAGTTTGGGGATCAGAAGACCCAGAAAGATTTGACAGACACACTACAGTTGACAGACAGTGCAGAGAAGGTCTCCTGATTCCTACATCATAATCTGCAGGCAGTGCACACTGGAATAGATGCTGTTTGTGTGATGGAATATGGGCGTAACCACCATCTTCTTTTATTTCTTGTCTCAGAAAAGCTGTCAAATGTATAACTAATATAATTTGTTACACTTTTTGGAAAGTAACAGATGGCAATCAGTTTCAAGGACAGGAAAGTTTTGTTCATAACTGTGGTTGGATTGCAATAAAAGCACTATTAATATTACATTTTGAAAAGTTGCAGGACCAATTTATGCCCTGCATAAAGCAATCTCCACACTACTTTATTAACATTAGAGAATTTTGCTCATGTCTGTTTTCCAATTTGCCAAAACATTTGTGAGAAGTAAAGGCCCAATAGAGCAGTGATTGTGACTGACTTCAGTTTATTGGTTGTGTGGTGCATACAAAAACAACTCATCTAAGGGTGTCCTGATGGGATCATTCCAGAACTATCATCACTGGTTAGCTTGAAACAGAAGAACTTACAAGTGGTACAGGGAATTTTTTCATAAGACTTATCTCTGTAATCTCTTTTCCCCCTAGCATTTGATGAGCATTGTTGATGGGGCTGTACAATAGTGTTCTTGTGACTTGCAGCTGTGTTTTTCAAACGAATATTTGTCTTGGATTCTATGTGGAATCTCTCAGCAGCTTTTATTGATGTTTCTTGTAAATGTTAAACACTACAACAATTCTTTGACTTTCTGCACCATCGTGTACTGCTGATAACTAGGTACTTGTTAACTTTGTTTATTTTTTGGATCACACTCATTCCATCAGTGATGGATGGCCTGCTGCGGTTTCAGTATGATTTGCATTCCACACAGTCCCTCTACCAAAGTTGCCTGCTTTCTTCTTCAAAGTGATCTATCCAATGTTGTCTGTGTGTAATGAATAAGACAGAGAGAGTATGTCTGCTTGGAGCAACACTTCTGGGTTTTTTTTATTATGTTGTTGTTGTTACATCCTTGTCTGTTTTGAATATTATTATTTAGAGATCCTTGCACTTCTTGCTCTTCTGTGGTGACTGAAAATATTCTGACCTTCTCTCTGGAAGTTCACTCATGAAATTTCTGTATGAAATAACCACTCTTGAGATGATTTTTAAAATAATTACAGTCTGCTCACCTACTTTATGTGCTTTTAGGAGGTCATCAATACCATCTGGCAGGGCTGGCTGGTAAGCTGACAAGATCTTTGGTCATTATTGGTTGGCTTTATCTTAAGAATTTCAAGAAAGTCTTCAATACCTGGCCTTTTGGAAGTCTAATTTTCTGTACTTTTTCAGATATTCACTCAGATGCATACTCTGTTCTGGAGATCTTTGGCTGTTTCATGTCTTTTATGAGCTACCTTATACTAATATTTTATGGTTAGCAGCAAGACAGTATTTAGCTGCAAACAAAATCTCTTTGAAATAAATTGGCTTGAAACTAAATCCCTTTAACCCCCTGGTGTCTGAGTGGACTTCTTCAGTTGAGCTGATCTAGTGGAAAGAAAGGGAGGTCCTGCTTCCCTCTGGCTCTGCTGTGCATTTCTGTCCTCTCCCTTACATGGTCACTGCTTTTCATTTAACCCTATTCATTTCACATTTGCAGGGATATTAATTCTCTGTCCACTTATCTGTCAGAAATGGCTCATCATGAGTTCAGATGAGCACTGCTACCGGTGAAGCAGCAGATAGTCACGGTCCAGAACGAGGAAAGCAGGGCAATGCCCTTGGTACTAGCCACATTAGATCAACACAGCTACAGCAGGAAACTGTACCTTGAAAGAATTTTTTCTTTTATTTTTAATATAAGATGATCTAACTCTGTGCTGTGTATCTTCCCCTACTTGCACATTCCTAACTCCTTCCTTATTTTGGCTCTAGTAATTCTGTGATGAGTTGGATCAGCCTGGTTGCTGATCAACACTTTGCTTCCCTGAGAACCCATAATTTCTTTGTGTGTGTTAGTTTTCAAGTGGATCTGACTCACCCTATGGTTGTATGATTGCTAGAACTGATGCAAGGGAGGTAATGGAAATATCTTCCTGATGACAGAGGACAGGTCAAAGCCCTATTTTACAGTTGGATCAATGTTAGATCAGTTTGAGTCAATCATGAGGCTGTAGTCAGACAAATTTCAGCTGAATCTGCTGCCTGAAGAAACAGTCCTGACTCCCTGCCCAGTGAATACAATCCTTTCTAACCCTGTGCCACCCGCATCTGACACTGATCAGGTTCACCATGCAACACAGCTGGCTGTATGTTTGCAGGATGATCAGAACAATGAGGTGAACTATCCGACAACCAGTTTTTCAGGTTAACACTTCAGGCTGACTCCCCAGCCTGGCTCTGCCTGCAGCAGGTTGGAGGCTGGTGCAGAGCTGGAGGGATGGAGGTACTGTCTCCATCAGGGGCTCTTACCTGGGAGCTATTGCCCCAAAAACGGCACTGCCCCAGCACATACACATGGACTCCTCCCAGCTCTGATCAGCACCTCCACTGGTGGCAGGGACCACCTCATCCCATGCGGGGACCACCCCACCCCATCCTGAGGCAACTGGCCCCTGCGGGCCTGCAAAGCCCCTGCAAAGTCCACGCTCACACTTGCCAGCTGGAGCTGACCCCATTCTCCCCTGCCCCCCTCAACAGCTGCCCCACAGTGCCACTGTCTTGGGTGACCCCGCTGAGGCCACATCTGGAGTGCTGTGTCCAGACATGGAGCTCCGGGAGTGGGTCCAGCGGAGGGCAATGAGGATGATGAGGGGACTGGAGCATCTCTCTTACAAGGAAAGGCTGAGGGAGCTGGGCCTGTTCAGCCTCAAGAAGAGACTGAGAGGGGACCTCATCAATGTGTATAAATATCTAACAGGGGAGTGCCAAGAGGACGGAGCCGGGCTCTGCTCGGTGGTGCTGAGCAACAGGACAAGAGGCAGTGAACAAAAACTGATTCACAGGAAGTTCCACCTGAACACGAGGAAGAACTTCTTTACTGTGCAGTGATCGGGCACTGGAACAGGTTGAGCAGAGGGGGTGTGGCGTCTCCCTCACTGGAGATATCCAAGAACCACCTGGACGCAACGCTGCCCCGTGTGCTCTGGGATGACCCTGCTTGCGCAGGGAGGTTGGAACAGGTATCCCACTGTTGTCCCTCCCAGCCTGACGCACTCCCGGACCCCGTGACTCCCCCTCCTGGCCCCGCCCCCAGGCCCCAGGCCCCGCCCCCTCCCCCGCCCCCGGGCGCGCGGGCCTGGCGCGCGCGCAGTCGCGCGGTAAACAGGCCCCCGCCGGCCCCGCCCCCTCGCACCGCCCCCGCGCGCAGGGGCCGCGCGCGCGCCGGCGGCTGCGCAGTGTGGGCACATCCGGGCACTGGGGCAGGATGAGCGCTCCTTTCCAAGATGGCGGCGGAGGGAGGAGGGAAGGAGATGAACGAGATTAAGACCCAGTTCACCACCCGGGAGGGGCTGTACAAGCTGCTGAGCCACTCGGAGTACAGCCGGCCCAACCGCGTGCCCTTCAACTCGCAGGGCTCCAACCCCGTCCGTGTCTCCTTCGTCAACGTCAACGACCAGAGCGGCAACGGGGACCGGCTCTGCTTCAATGTGGGCCGAGAGCTCTACTTCTACATCTACAAGGGGGTCCGCAAGGTACCGGGGCTGCCCCGCCGGGATGGGAGGGGAGCGGCGGGGGCTCGGCGCCGCCCACCCGCCGGAGTGCGGGAGCCGCGGGGCCGCGGCGGGGGCGGGGGGCAGAGGCCGGTCCGCCCCTCCCGCCGGGTCCCCCCGCCCCGCGGCCTCGGGACCGGGGCTTCGCGGCTCCACCGCGGTCCCAGGGAGCCAGGGAGCGGCTGGGCAGGGGGAGCGCGGGCCTGGGCCGAGGGCGTTGCGAGGGCACCGCGCGGGGTCGATGCTGGGGCTGCTCCACATACGGTGCCCCCGCCGGGAGTTCTGTGTGCGAGCCCTGTGCGGGGATGCGATCGCTGGAGATCGTGCGGGAATGAGGGCTGGCGTTCCTTCCCTGGGCCTCCTTCACCTGCTGCTTCAGGTCAGAATTTGCTGGACACACTAATGCCTGTTGTGATTATGATGGTGTCAAATCCCTGCTTCCAGGATCCGTCTAGCTTTGCCTGCATGGCTGAAGCGTTCACTGCAGTGTTAGGCCTTTATTGTGACTTCGAAGTGTGGGCTGATCCTAGGATTGTTTCTAAATGGGAGTGGTGCAGTGAACTGAGTCTTAAATATCAGATAATTAACAGAGAGAAAGTTGCTTTTGCACGAAAGAACCATTGATGCACGAGAGAGAGAGAGAGAGAGAGAGAGAGAGAGAGAGAGAGAGAGAGAGGGAGAGACTCCTTACCTGTCCTTATTGGATGCAGGACAGTGCATGCATTTGATCTCTCAGGTCACCATATTTATGAACAAATTGTTGATAACAACAGCTATTGTTTCTTCAGGTCCTTGATTTTACAGGATTCAGAGAACAATTTGAAATTTGTCATGCCAAGTGAACGTGTGTAACTCCCAGTATACGTAAACACAGATAATAACGATTGTCAGCTTTCTATTTCATGTTTCAAAAAGTGGGCGGGTGTTATTTTGTGTGCTTGGGCCTCAGCTGCCATGATGGGAATACTTTGAAATGTTCCTGCTCTTTGCCCACCATTCAAAGTGGGATGAGGGCACAGGGAGCTAGAGATGTGAGTAAGGCTGTGCAGGAAGCTTATGGATGAGCAAGGAATTATACCTGAATCTGCTGTGTCCTAAGCCAGTGCCCCAGCACTCCTCCTCTGTAAAAAATGTCAGCACCAACAGGAGAATAAAGTCTGCGTGGTTATTTGTTGACTGTGACTTAACAGATCTGATATGTCCTGTTATAATTACATGGAGAAGTGTGTGTGTGTATTTTAGTTTCACCCTTTTATGAATTTTAATAATCAGTTATGTTTCAAATAATGTTTGGACAATAGTTTGTTTAAGCGTACAAGGAGTATTTCATATCAAACAGTTTTTGCTGTTTACAAGCAGTTGCTATCTTTACAAGGTATTGTGGGGAGCAATGTCTCTGAAAATCTGTATCCTAAATTATTACTGCGTTTGGGTTCTGATATCTTACGTTTGTTTTTTCCATGCAAAGGAACTGCAGAATTCTCTCTCTCAACTCACAGAGCAGGCCTTTACGTAGTTTAGTAATGGTACATGTGATTCTTACAAGTTCTCTTAGTCATCTCTTGCCACGCTTCTGAAAAATAAAAATCTGAAGCCTGGAAGTTCATTGAAAATAGGGAATAGAATAATTATTTCAAATTACTAAAATAGCTTTGATCTGAGTGTTTGAAGATTTTTTTTTTTAGATGCTTAAAGTTACTGGTGTGATACAGAGTAACTGAGAAATTTGGGTTTGTGAGGTTGTGAATTCTGAGCTCTGAGACTTTCATACCTGTTACAGTGTGAAATGCTTTTTTCTGTGAATAAAGTAAAACATACACGTTGTTAGAATTAATTTCAGTGACCTTTTACAGTGTTAACAATTTAGGATACCACTGTATATTCTATACATATAATGTATTAGTACAGTGAACTTAGGGAACTAGCTGAAATAGGTTAAATCACGCTTAAGGAAAATACTTTAAATAAGAACAGGGAAGATGTCTGTCTCACATCTGTAATACTTGCTGCTCTGGAATTTATTTTGAAACTATTCACTTGGAAGTAATTGTTTTGTCTGTGTACAAAGTTGACATAGGAACAGGCTGACAGCCTGTCAACTGGTCATTTGAGCTTTTCAGAATCAAAAGTTGTGTCCTGTGCCTGTCACAGAGGGGAGAGAGCTGGTGTTGCCTGAAAGGACAGTGTGTAATTATGCCTTAAACTGGACAAACTATCACACTCTGCATGCCTTCCTGTTCTTGGGGACAGGAGGGGGAGAGGAAGTTGACCTGTTCAAGACCAACCTGTGTGTGATCCTCTGCATAATACAGATGCTGATAACTTCAGTTTTAACTGTTAGCTCACAATTATTTAAGTATCCCTTAAAAAGTTTCCCTGATGACTATAATTTTCATTCTGGCTAAGTCATATTAGAGTATTGAGTTGAATTTAGTGAAACTCTGCTGTATGAATGTACCAGCTGGCTACAATTTATCTTTTTTTTTCCTCATCTTTTTTAAGGTCCGCTGCTTTTCTTGATGAGAAAATGCTATATTTTTCCTAAAATGAGTGAAAGAACCACCAGGGCTTTGTTTTAAGTAACCATGTCTGTTAGATACTGGGATAATTCTTGCGTCAGTAATCCACTGCAGATCAGTACACATCAAGGAAGAGTAACACTTAAGCCATGAATGACACTTAAGAATAAATAATGTAATATTGAGTCAAAGATACCACTTGACATCAGTGATGCTAATCTTCTTTTAGTTTCTCTTTAATCCTAAATGCATCGCATCTGCTACATCTACTTTGTAAATCACCTTTTTAAGTTAACTGCTGAGGTATGTATTCTGTTCAGGACATGTAACCTATACAAACAAAAATGTTTCCAGGGATGTTTCTTTAAGCTTGATCCTTCTTTCCAACACACTTGGTGAAGAAGCATCAAGAACAGTGATGTGGAGATTGGAGTACAAATGGACAATGATAATGGTTTGGTAGAGAGACCCAAGAGAGTTTTGGACAGCATTTTAAGCTGTCTTTAGAGACTTTTTGAAGCAAAATGGTATTTTCTTCCAGCTTTGTTCTTCGCCTCTTTGAAAGGGAAGCTGAGCTTTTACTGTTTAATGTTTCCATGTTACTACTAAATTTTACTGTTGTCATGAAACATGTTACCATGTTTCACGTTTTCTGTGTCCTAGAAAGTACATCAATTATGAGCCAGCGCGTTGTTGTTTTTATAATGAAAGTCATGCAGGTCTCTTTGTGTTCATAAAGCAATACAGGCTTCCAGAAAACTACTGTTTTCTGGTTTGGATCCACTGAAAAAAGAAATGAACCTGTGGTTTAGTATGGAGAAGTTAAACTGTGATGGAATGATCTAAATATGTAATTGTTTTCAGCTGCACTGAGTGTCAGTGGGATTTCCCTTTCCTTCCTCCTTAACTTTGGCTTTAAGGTTAGATGTGTGCAGTGATCTCCAGTTAGACCCAAGGGGTATATTTTCATGAACTCAACCGATCTAGCAAGAGCTGTAAATGGTGGTCTAGCCCTGCAGGATCCTTTTGGCATCGTGCTCCTACCTCCTTGTCTTTGGCAGTGCTCAACCTGTGGTTGAGCTAGTTCAGCTTGCTAAACCAGCAGCAAAGTACTTGCTGTTTTTCTGTGCAGATTTCCTCTTGATTTGGTGAGTTGAACTGTGTCATCTTGAGATTGAATATTGGCAGGTACAGTGAGATCAAGGAAAGGGTTTGGGGGCACTACCCCCTTCAGTGGCCTGGACTGTCTGCTTGGATCCACTGCCTTATTATTATTCAGGTCTCTCCTGAATAAAGCCTCTACTTCAGCCTTGAGTCAGTTTTGGACTGATCTGTTCTTGGGGAATTGTTGAATTAATTTTGATTAAGAGAGTTATGGGTGGTAGAGGAAGCCTTTTTTATTATTTTAGGCATTTCCTTCTTCATTGAGTGAGGGTATATAGTAATATAGGTAATAGTTCAAAATTTATTGTTCAAATTACGATGCATTTATTCTTTGGACAGGTTGCCTTTTCCTGCAGCCCCAAATCAGGAGTGAGAGCTGTTGTTTGATTCTTGCTTATAAAACAGTCTTGAAGTACTTAAATATGGTCTGTGGCTAGGCTTTGCAAAATGATTTATTAGTTGATTCATTAGGCTGGAAAAGGAGAGCTCCATCTCATCTTTCTTACCTCAGGAATGACTGACAAGACAAGGCTTTCTAGATTGCTACCGACATTAACTATCAAATCCTTTTCCCCTACTAGGACGTTGGTGCATTTTCCTGTGAGAAGTTGTGTGTGATGATTTGTTTTTCTCTGTGTGTTGTAAAAGTTTTCTGGGCAAGTTAGTCTGCAGCTGTCACTGCAATACAGGCACATAAGGTCCCTATTAACAACTGTGTTGCATGGTGCACCACCTTCATTTTCTGTAATATATTGGCAACTTATGAAATTTGATTGTGTAGTGTACCTGATTACATTATGTAAAACTTTCTGCGTTCTATTTAAATTCTGGCTACCTGCTGTCTTTAACCTGTGGAAGACTTTACTAACATTGCTTGTTTCATTTTTTGAAACCACTTTCTCGCAAAAAGAAACTTTGTCTTTAATTCTGCTTTTTTTCTTACAGCTACCTGAAGCAGCAATTTGTTAATAACTATGGAGTATTATGGTGTGTTGCAGTAGTGTTGGAGTAGAAACACATGTAGGTGATAAGCACAGCTTGGTGGAGGCATGGAAGGCAGAACCTGTTGACTGTCTTCTTAACCTTACATAGAACAGGTGGCTTAGAAATTTTATTTGTACTAAGATGAAAATAATCTCATATCTCAACTACTTCTATTGAGAGTTGGCACAGTTATCAGTAAAAAGGTTGATGACGTGTAGGATTCCTTCCTTTGCAGTTCTCTAAATTACCTTTTTTATGTCTGGCTTGATAAGGGAGTATTTGTTGTCCAGTTGGGAAGTGTAATCCTTGGTGGTG